CAGATCTTCAGGATGTGAAAATCAATCTGCAAAATCCCTGAATAATCAGAGTGGTTGCCCGAGTTCTGACCAGGGCTTTAGGGCCCGGGATGACTCGCATCAGTTGCGGTGTTTCCAGAGAAAAAGAAGGGCATTTGGTGTCATGATTTTGATAATGAGATTGGAAGTCACTGCCTTCAATTCTAGTCTACGGCAGGTGTGATTAGCAGTCGATATGATGACTGTAACCGAAGGCTGACTTACATGATGTTATAGGAAGCTATTCTCTGTTAAGGTCCATCAGGAGCTCTCGGTTAATGAGACAGAAGAGCAAAAATCATGCCTTAGTACTGCAATATCAAGAGTGCCACGACTGGCTGATCCTCGTTGCAGCTTTCTGTCCATCTTGAATGAGTCGTCATGGGCGTTTCGCCGATAAACGCAACACCAAGATTTCTCAAGAAGTGAAGTCGAGTTTGCCACGGGTCTGGCACTAATACAAAGAGACCGCCTATTTTTCCTGTGCTAAAGCGACTACTTTTCCTGTGGCTATACTCTAATCACTCCACTACCGTCGATATCGTCGTCGTCGTCGTCGTCGTCGTCGTCGCTTCTATTATTATCGTCGTTATCGTCGTCCTCGTCCTTGTCCTCCTCGTCGCTGTCGCTACTATCGCTTTCGATAGTAATAGTCAAGTGCACAGGAAATGTAACCGCGCAGACACAGGAAAATTAGGCGATCTCAATACAAATAGTGAATAGTGCTAGTAGTGCACTCTCAGAGGGCTGCAAAGGGCTCTTGCACTGCAAGATACCAGGCAAGATCAGCGTCTCTAGCCTACCGGTGGTTAGCTTTCATGTAGCAAGGCAAAAAGCACGTCAACTTACGCAAGTCCACCATTTAAAACTGTTCAGAAGAGGGCTATGCTGATTTACGTCCAGCCAACGACATCCGATGGTGTAGTATATGCCTGCGGCCTACCCAGTGGAAGAGGTTACGGCTCGGGAACCGAAGAGAATGAGCATTAGCTCGGATCCTCGGCTCAGAATAACGACCGCCGGTCAGTCGGCTCCGACAGCGAGTCTATGAGAGAATTTGCGTGGGTAAGTTCGATGACCCCGGTTAGAAGGTATAAGCTTCGGTCAGATCAAAGTTCAACTTTGTCCCAGTGAACTGACCTTCGACGTGAGCATCATAAGATGAACGGGAGACCGAAGGTACGTCGATCATGATTCCATTGGGCATGACAAGTCTTCTCTAGAGAAGAGGTTGTGAACAATATCAAGAGATTGGGGAGATTGACGGGCATTGATGACGTCTTAATTAACTACTTTGACCGCAAGCTGACGGCAAAGGGTATAGCGTCTTAAGAAGTGAACACGAATTGGGTGAGATGAAGAGCAGAGTAGAGTTAGAGCCTGGCGGTCGGTGCCGGGTATATGAACTCGAAGGGGCGACGTCCATCCTGTGTTTCTCTCGGCTTGGTTGAGAATGAGGCCAAACAGCTGGCGTGCTTGCCTGCACTGCTGTACAACTCTGATCGTAAGTGGGTAAATGGCATCTTTAGACAAAATGCTTGGTCTGCATGCCGGGTATCTACATCTAGCGGTGTGAGTGAGGCCATTTGCTCAAACCTCCAGCGCCGTATCAGAGGGGAAACATGTTTCTGGGAACGGAGGCTAGCTCAACTCTAGCCCACGTCAAGCGCTTCAAGCGCATCATGGGCCGCAAGCTCGAATTGAGAAGATGGCATTCGCCTTTGTCTTCAGCGGAACGAATTTTTGTAGATTCCTGAGGTCGATTTTGAGTGCATGTGCCCCAAAACCTTGACGGCAACCCCCCACTCAGAGGGTTTCCATGACGAAAACATAGCAGACCAGACGAGCAAGATGAAAAGGGTTGTTTGCGCAATGAAAAAGTTTGAGACTTAAAGTCAAACATGCAGCTGTCAGAACTGCTTCCTCGCCTCGTGGCTCTTTTGGGCAAGCTTTGATGATGAGCGTGCCAGAGAGACGGGGCGGGAGGGAACCAAGCGGGTGCTCAGAGCAAACAGAGTTGCGGATGGTGTCGGGTGGTGTCGATCACGAATTTGGTGTCTCAGATATTCAACTGGCCAACTGGGAAATGTCCGAACTACCGGCAGAGACAACACAAAACTTCATACAGAGACGAAGAATGAGCATCAAGTCGATGACTGGAAGCTGGAAAGCTAGGGGGAAGTGGGGTGGCGGCGGCGAAGAGAAGAACAGGAGGAACCTGAAGGACGGCTATCAAGAACACACACGATCATGATGTTCCATGGTTGAATTGAAAATGAGTTGTTGCTCATCTTCAGAAAGATGCCGGATCTCTGACTATGTTGATGATGTTGAGATGCTTGTTGAAGGCTCCTTACAGGTGTCGAGGAAACACTGTAGAGAGACTGCGGACCTGCATGTCCAAAGTCACTAAACAGAGACCCCACTCTAGGTACTTAGTCAAGCTAGCCTCTGAGTCAGACATCCAAGAGCGGACACACAAGCATTCTTAGTGTAGCGGTTATCATCCCAGCCTTCCATTCGAGAGAATCTGACAGCTGGGGACCGGGGTTCGACTCCCCGAGGATGCATTATCTTTTGCTCTTTTGCGTATTCCCATCAGCTGTCGATGTGTTCTGCCATTTTGGCTGATTTTCGAGTGGTTGAGTGTTGGGTTTGCAGAGTCTTTTTTTGCCCATGTGCATATCTTGCACAAAATGCGCATAATGAGATATACACTAAGCCCGGCCTTGTGATTGGCCAAAGACCACCCAACATGGGGCACTCGGACCTCCAGTCTAGACTTCAGTGCGACAAACACCACGTCTTCCAGACGCCGCTCCCGACACATCAACCTGCAGCGTGTGTTTCTCTCAACATGTGCGGCTTGTGAGCAAACATCCACAGACTGTCAAAGCATCGCAGCTTTTTGCCTTTGATATGTCAGCCAAGAGCCCTATCTTTGGGGTCAAACAGGAAGAAGAGCGCCGGGTGATGTCACTGTACCGGGCCCGGTCGGTTTTCACAAAGCGCATACTTCCGTTCTGCAGCCTGGCAGCGGCCAAAACCTCACCCACAGAACAAATTCAAAGTCGTTTCATTGTTTGGCAGCTCTATTTTGCCTTTCCCTCCTCTATTCCAAATGGTTTTCCGTATGAATTCTGGATGAAGAACATTCGGCTCCGGTAGGATCATCACAACTACTCGACGTCTGAATTTGCCCAAGAGGTACCCTTATTCTAAGATCTGATCCAAGGATTTAGAGATGTTTCGTGCCATTTCCAAAACTCTTCTTCGAGTGACCAACACCGGCCGGTCCCTGCATCGCTGCTTATCTATGCTTGTTCTCTCCCGCGCGGCCTTTGGCAATGACACCGCAAGTGCGCTTAAACTGACCCTGGCGCTGGCGCTTCAATAGTTGCCTTTTGCTAATACTTTTGGTCTTCAACTTCACCCTGAACCAGACTCAATAGCCTTTCTCCCGAACAACTCGCTCTTCATACTCACAAGGCAACCCCCATCTTGGCTCAACTTTACTTCATCACTCGTAGTTGCGTTCAAACCTAGTCTTAGGTGCTTACTCGCACGGCATTACCCATCTCTCTTCATTTTCCCTGGTGAGTGCCGAGCCTCCCGGCCAACCCCAAACAACATCGACCCAAACCATCGACATTCACCAGACGGCGTGTTCGGCATGAAGACCACAAACGTCAACTCTTGACAATCACGCACCTCGGCTGGCGCGCCACTGCGGGAAAACTACCCTCATCGCTACTCTGTCCCGAGGAACAGGTCTCACACATCCATGCCCGACGAGTGGGGGGCCTTTCATCCCATCTTTTGCGCCTTCCAGGTTTCGAAGCTTCCTTGCACCTCCTTGTCTCGAATGGCATCGTCATATCGGGAGTCCGAGGGAAAATTTTCAATACCTTAGCCTACCTTCCCTTCGAGGCAGAGATGCGACCAAAGCTTCGGGGTCTATCTCGATGCTCTCTCCTGCCAAGACACCCCCAAGCTGCTACTGCGTAGGACGGCGTTGAACGGCGTTTCTGCCCCTTCTGCGCCTCACGGCCCACTGACACTGCGGTCTTGGCTATCGTCCTGCTTCTTGGGTCAACGACTGTGCTCGCTCTTGCTCGTATTGAGTTTACTCTGCAGACATCCCGGCTGAGCGTCATGTGCAAACGCGCAAGCTGCAGCATGCAGATCACCAAACTGTTTTTGACAACATCTGACAGAAGTCTGCTTTGTTTCTGCCTTTCTGCAGTCAGACAACGATTGCCAATCATCCAAGCCACAATCATTCAAGATATGGCTTCAATGGAAGCCAGATGCAGGCAGATCCAGATGCGGTTACGAGACCGAGCCTGGCCCAAGGATACCACAGAGGCCCGTTCCCATTCTTCATCATAGTCCCCGAACCTCCCCGTCCATGCCGCCGGGGCTACCTCCGACTCAAGTGGAGTTCTTTCTCTCCATGTTTCCCAATTCGGCAGTCCGGTTGAGAGAAGAGAGAGTGACCGTATCTTAATGCGAGCCGAGGGGTGTTGCAGTCGCCCTGCGGTTCAATTACTTGACAGCAAACATGCTGCCCGACCATCTTGAAAGCTTCCTCTTTCGGACATTGTCAGAGTTCGCGGCCCTACGGCGCAAGCCATACGATCCCGGACTGCCACGCCCTCGGCAGGGTCCAGACGTTGGCCCACCCCGGCATCAACCCTCCGTCACAGTCCTGAGGCTGCCCGTCGTCCCTGCAGAGCACCGGCAGGCCGTAACGACCCAGCCACCTGCGCGATGACAGCCAGTTTCAGGATCAGCCGCGAGGGAACCGTTCAAGGCTGCCTGGACTTGCAGAATGCTGAGCCAAGTGGCCGGGACAGCATGGAAAGATATAACGTCGTTATGTCTGTCGTTTGGTTTCTTTTTCGAAAACATCCCACATCTACCTTATCTTCAGTAGCAACTTGTGAACCAATCCCAAGTCTTCTTCACATACCGCAGCAATGGCGCCAGCAATGACAGCTTCGTCGTTCAGCTCCGGCCGGCCGGCATTCCCTCTACAACTTTCACCAACGGCCCTCAAATCATCATTCGCCCAGACAGAGATTCCCTCCCCAAGGAAACTAGCCAAGCAAGAACAGAACCTATGCCTCCCAGCCCAAGACAACCTCTTCATCAACAAGTCCGATCAAGACTTCTGGGCCGTCCGCTGCGCAGAAACTCTTGACAGCCTTATGAAGGCTGCCGGCTCCTACACCCCAGCCCAACGCGCCGCCCATCTCCAATTAGTATCAGAACTCGTCATCCCGTCTCTCGGTCCCCATCCCACTAGCGCCCCGATAAAGCCGCTGCTAACTGCCGACGGCTCCCCATTTGAGCCGTCGTGGAACATCACCGATTCGGGTGCCTCTTCCATCCGCTTTTCGTTTGAGCCCCTCGGCAGACATGGCGGGACCGAAAACGACCCCTTTGCTCAGAAGATGATCCCTGCCCTCCTCCCCGCGCTGCGCTCGCTCGGTGACAAGGTAGACACCCGCTGGTTCGAGCAGTTCGCATCGGCTCTCTTCCTCAATGAAGCCGAGACGAAGGTCGCTCTCGAGAGACTCGGCCCGGGCCACCGCGCCCCAACAGCCTTTCTGGCCTTTGATCTTGATGGCGGCAAGGCCGTTTTCAAGACATACTTCTTCCCCGTTCTCAAGCACATTGCCACCGGCGCCTCCACGGAAATAGTCACCTTCGATGCCATCCGCTCTCTCTCCCCCGGCGGCGAGCGCCTCAAGCCGGCCGCTGATGTCACGGAGGAGTACTTCAAGAACTGCCCCTTCCCCATCCCCGTCGAGATGATCGCCTTGGACTGCATCGACCCCGCCGCCGGCGCCCGCGTGAAGGTCTATGCCCGCACGTCATCAAACGCCTTCAACGTCGTCCGCCAGGTCGTCACGCTCGGCGGCCAGATCAACGACGAGGCCACGCTCAAGGGCCTCGAGGAGATGCGCAGCATGTGGCACCTGCTGCACAACGAGCCGGAGCCCTACGGCGACGACTTTGACAAGAAACCCAAGGTCTGGGACATCCTCCACAAGGGCATCTGCTACGGCTTCGAGCTGAAGCCCGGGTCAAAGTGGCCCGAGGTCAAGTCGTACGTCCCGCTGTGGCAGTACGCCGATAACGACGCAGTCATTGCTGCCAACCTGGCCAAGGCGTTCAAGTCAAGAGGATGGCCTGTGGCCGAAAGCTATGAGAGCGACCTGCCCAAGTGCTTGTGAGTTGTTTCCGCATTGCGCCCATTTGTGATCTTTGCTGACTGGTGTTTTAGCCCCCGTTCGAACCTGAACCGTGCAACTGGTACACACTCGTACATCTCGTTTGCCTTCTCCGAGAAGAAGGGAGCTTACTTGACCATATACTATTCCATCAAGCCCAGCGACTCAGTCCCAGCTCTCTGAGTGCTGGTCAAAGATGTCGTCGCATGGTGTTGTGGCGTAGTTTGGTGATCTTCTTGGCACATATTTCAGGGATGTTCTTGCTCTTAGGCAGTGCGCCGTGCTTGGTGGCCATGGCCACTTGGCAGGACATACTCAACATCGCTCTTTTCGTATCTATGGGTAATCTGACGAATGATGGCATTGGCATGGGATTCCTTAGATGATATATGACATGAAAGATTGACATAGTTTCGATAAATTATACCTTCCTATTCTCTCCGTCTCTTGTCTGTGCTATCAAAGATGGGTTGCTGGCTTGGCAATTCCTGCATCTTACGTGACGTAGAGAAATATCTACTTAAATCTGATGATCGAGGCTTACAGCAAGTTACCAAGCACCCAGACATCACCACATGCCTATATAAATCGAAGTATAGTTAACCAACGTCATTTACAGGGCAAATGTCGCAAAAGCCCATTCTTTGACCTCAGCGGTCATCGTTGGAACAGACAAAGACTATTGAGGAATCCTCACTGCGATTGTTTGTCAACTCGCTATCCCTCTATCGTCCTGTAATCGCTTCAAAGTATCCACTGAGAAATACATGACTGGCAAGAACGGTTGGTGTTCATCGACGATGAGTAGCATGGCTACCCCATCGGGTTCGACCGTTCAGGCCCGGCCACCTGATCTGACCTGTGGCACCTTCTCCGGCAAAGATGTCCCGCTCGCCGTTGGCTGAATCGTTTCCATTGAGATTTTGAACGAATTGGTCACCACAAGCTGGATCCTAGCTAAGTTCTCAGAACTATATTGTGTGATGAGGAAGCAGCTACCTTCCTCAACTCTACCCTTTCGATGGCCGAACGGATTGATCGGGCTGGGAGCAAACAGACCACCGAAGATGATCTCGTCAGAGTGAAGCAGGCCCCTCGGGACTGATTCGCATCAAAGATACAAATATTTCGTTATGGCGAACAAGTCGACCCTGTCTCCTTCAGCCTTTCGGCATGAGAACGATACAATAGTTGCTGAACCGTACATATAGTAGTACATCGAATAGCTTCGTTCCTTCAATTTGGACATTTTCAAGCTGCAATGCATGAAATACAAAACTAATAAGAAGGCTTAGGCATTTCTACGTGGTCTTGGGTTCCATACTATCTCGTAAACTTTTGAGTCGGTTGAGCACTTTATTAAGGGGTTTATTGATAAAAGCGCCGTGAGTGGGTGGTCTTGTAGCCCTTGAACACGACAGCTTAAATGGTAGTGCCAGTAGTTTGAAGACTCACAAGGTGTTCATCCACTAACCTAACTATCTAGCCAGTATGGCCATCTAATTACGCGGCAAGCATGAGATTTCCATCATGGGCCAACATTCCCGCAGTATTCGCTTACCTAGTCACGCAGAAGGGGGGAACCTTCGGAAGAACGGTAATCTGTAAGGTGAAATTTCATCCCCTTTCCACCCCATCGACTTCACACCTTGTGCCGGGAGCGAAACCCTCTTGTCATGGGAAGCGAAACAGATGCATCAAGATTTGGCTGCACCTTGCACTGACTATACTAAGAGGTTTATATACCAAACGCAGTACACATCTTGCCTACTTGAGTGGAAAATGGGCACTGAATCACAGCTTCAAGAACCAATGATGCCAGTGGCGGATGTGATTGAACAATAATCTGCTTCCTTTGTGACATCAATTCATCATTCACGAGGGCAATGGTTACCGTATTCAACTACACCAATCTCTTTCTCTCAGATAGCGCATTGAGTACCAAGTATTGGCTCAAATGACTCAGATCAACCACGAGCGATGAGCGCCAGAGACGACGGAGTCTACTCCAGCCCGGCATTAAGTCGCTTGATGTGCAGGACTATGACCGTTCAAGATGTCTTCAAGATCACGATCTATCCATGTAATGCCGTTTAGTACAGCTGTTCGCGGAATTCCATTGCTTGAACCATTCAACCATGTTGTTTCTGCGAGCCTGTATTTAAACATTGCTGTGCTCCTCGACAACCCTCGCAACAGTCCGTGTTTCCTACAGCAGACTGTCGCCGTGGTTTCCATCGCGGACCACTACCTCGTGCCGATTATCACCAGAGGGTTGAGTACTTAAAGGCCTCTGGAGCGAGAAGTCTCCAAGTAGGAACGGCAATGCTGGGGGACCACGAAATTGGAGGCAATGGTAGCGTTTGCCACAGCCCGAAAAGATGGCATGGAGTCTGCTTTTCAGTGTCAACCCCTATGGAACGATGACATGGGAAGACTTCTGCTCACGTCTTGTTTCCGCATCCATCATCTCTCCCAGATTATCACCGCACGTCAGTCGTTGACAGGCAAGGGCTGCGGACGACGAGTACAAGGCATATGCCCATCAACAAGGGATACAGTCCGGAATCGGTAGGTGGCCCCGATTTGATGAGGTGCTATCAACGACACCTTTGCGGCCAGCCATTGCTGCTGTTTTCCAGTCTATTGAGATTGAGGTACCTTCATTTTATCCATTTGACGCCGCTAACCATGTCCACCCGGTCGTGCTTCTTTTCCACTAGTGTCAATGTATAAATGACAACCAACATTCACAAATTCTGGGCCACCGACGAAATAAGTTCCTGCGGTGTTTCTGTTTTTGAAGCTGTCGATGAGGCTTTGAGCATGGCTCCATCACTCCCACAGGATCTGCATGTAAATGAACTCATGAAGACAGAGACACCTCTGTAATACTTTCCGATGGTTATTTGACTAGAATTCACGCAAGACAAGAGCTTCCACGGAAGATGGCGAGTAATAAGATCCTGAACTAACTGTGTTCAGAGTAAGCCTCATAGCTATGATAAGGGCATGAATGCAGATTGGACTTGCGGAACGAGCCCACTCTAGACTATGCTTACTTCGAGTTGAAGCATGCCTATTGTGGTGAAATGTGAATATCGAAATTCGCTGTCAGATTTTTACCCTGCCGCGTGCCACACAATGCGACTTGATGCAGATGAAGAGCCCCAATTCGAAGAGCGTACCCGAGAGACGACAAGTTTTCTGACATTAAAGACACTCCAACTCCTTATTCTACTGGCTTCTATTTCTAAGCAATATTGTGTGAATCATTGCTTCTGGGTACGTTTATCCCGGCATGGTACCATTCTTCAATCAAGTCCAGCCCGGCGAGGAAGAGCCCGTCACCAGAAGCCAACGCCATCTCCATCCCCCATCGTCCGCGACGTAATACTCAGGAATACACTAGAAGGAGCAAAAGAACAGGACACTCAGTCTGTATGGGAAGACAGCCACTACCACGAGCGGCCAGCTGACGCAACTTGACGGCCGCTCATCCTCTAATCGCGACTTTTCATTGAAGCTGAGAAATGCACAGCAAATTTTGCCGCCGTCTCTTCTTCAACACGAATAAAACGTAACTTTTCATACCATTAAGCTGCCAAGCCTGCCTGGACTAAAACCTTCCTCTTTTCGCCATGATCCCCAAAGATGGCTGTGAAGCATCAGAGTAAGGATGAAGGTCTTGAGTAAATAAAAGACATATCTACCTCGTGAGTGTTTACCTCCGCCGACCCCAGCGAACCAATCAAGAGTTAACTCCATGATGGGCATTGCGAAGCTATCGACCACACCACCCTGGACCTGAATATCTCAGTGCCAGCGCAGCACCTACAAGCCGGTGGGTGATGAAGACAATCCTCCGTGACTCTCCATCGCAATGGTATTCAGAGCACACTCTGCTGTCGAAGAAGGACAGAAGCAAGAGCATGATCCGCAATAGTTCCACTTGCGTCGAGGATGCTACTGATGTGGCCTACCAACAGCAGCATATCAATGGATGCTCACATGGGATGTGCAACCGACGCAATCAGCTACGATTCTGTTAGTCTTCTCACCACACGCTGGTGAGACAGATGTATTTGATGAAAATCAACGGAACCACGTGATTCCCACGTAATCAACGACAATAGCCTGCAGCCAGTACAGCGAAGTCAATAGAACATATCAGGTCTCACCAGGAAATTTCAAGTGAAGGAATGTGGGTATTTTCAAGCCTATGGATACAATCTCGAACCCTTCAGTTATTCCGCTGGTGATGGATGCCGGAGCGAGTGTGCTTTCTGTGCTGATAACATCCAAGCCACTGTCGTCCCCAACTTCGGTCAAAGCCAAAGATGCAGCGGTGTTTTTTTCCTTGATGAGATATCCCCCTCCATGTAACCAACCCTTTCCTGTCCTGGTTCCAACCCGCTAACGCCGCTTCTTTATGAGATGTGTGGTTTCCTCTCTTGTCCAATCTTGGATTGTCATGTGGTATTTTGGATTTTTTTTTCAGTTCCGACCTTTCAAAAGCAAAATGAGTAAAATAGAAAGTGGTATCATCAGTTCGCACGATTTCGTGTTTCGGTTCCAGCTGCTTAAACCTGGGCGGTCTCGGTCTTGGTGGCCTCCTCCTCGTCGTCCTTGTAGGAGGGGAGGTCCTCCTGCTCGGTCATCAGACCAGCCTTCTCCTCGGTGGCAGCAACCTCGCGGTGCGAAGACTTGCGAGAGCGGCGGCGGCAGTGCTTGCGAGCGAAAGGAGACTGGCGGCGGACAACCACACGCCAGAGGCAGACGATAAAGGTGCCGACCATCATGCCAATGCTTCAATTCGTGTTAGCGAATCTAAATCTCGAAAAAAGAGGGGTCACGCGACCCCAGATAACGGGGGTTCACGACAGGGGATGAAACACTTACATGCTAACACTGACGCCAGCAACAATGCCGATGAGGATGGGCAGGAGGATGTGCGAAGTGATGTTCTTGGCGAGCTGGCCCCAGGTGTGGTGGTGCTGTCTGAAGTGACCAGCGTTGTGAGCGTGGTGGCCGTGGTGGCCATGCTTGCCGTGACGGCCCTGACCGTGCATGCCGTGCTTGCGGCCGCCGCAGTGCTTGCCACGCATGTTCCTCAAGATGGCGGCGCGCCACTTGCAGTACAGGGTGGTGCAGTCAGTGGGAGTCTTCTCGTCCTCCTTGGGGGTGGGGATGGTAGTCTCGGTCATGTCGACGTTGGCGATCATGAGCTTGCCGTCGGGGGACTTGATGAGCTTGACGTTGACGTTGGGGACGTCGCTGACGAAGCTGTTGCCAACCTCGATGATCTGAAGGTCAATCTCGAGAAGCTCGAGCTGCTGGTCCTTGTCCATCGCGACGGGGCGGACGGCAAGGCTGTAGCCCAGCTGAGGAGTGTTGGGGTCGGCCTTGCGAGGGTGCTTTGTAGCAGCCTCGGTGAAGGCGGGAACCTGAGGAGCGCGGAGAGCAGAGTACCAGGAGGCGGCCTTGGGGTACAGCTCGAATTTGTTAACGAGGAGGTGGTCGAGGCCGGCGGCGTCGGATTCAACGGAGAAAGTCAGCTCGAGGTGGTTCTCGATGTTGGTCATGGTGTGGTAGCGGCCATCGTGGTGCCTCATGGTAAGGGGGCAGCCAGGGCAGTCGAGCTTGACGAGCTTGTTCAGGATGCCAGTCTCGGAGACGGGCTGCTCGAAGGGGAGGGAGTTGACGATGTCGTTGTCGGCGTCGGAAATCTCAGGGACGACGACGAAGGCTTGCGTGGCCGTGATCGCCAGGCCGGCGGCGGCGAGGGATTTCAGCAACATGATTGCGGTGTATGTGGTTCCTCAACGTCTCGATAAATCGATGGCAGAGGATGTAGAATTTGGTGTTTCGCTGGGTGTGGTGAAGTGTGTTCGACAAAGGAGAAGATGCAGTGTCGAAAGGCAGTCTTCAGAAGAGTGAAAGTTTGGGGTTTCGAAGCCGGAGTGGGAGGAGAGCAGGTGCAATGACATGAGTGCGGTGTTAATGGGTGGAGCACAGTACATGGCGAGTGCTGCGTAAAGGGACCACGACCAGCAGGTGCCTGCCTTACGACGCAGTACCTTACGCACCACGGCCTACGCAGCCAGGTACCTGCCGGGCAAAAGATGGGGATCAGGTGTCGAGTGGCGTTACGAATAGGGCGAGGGGGAAACTGGCACACGCTAGGCCTCTCTTGAGGGACCGAAGTCACCACCCACAGACTTTTGGCTGCACCGGTACATGCCGAAAGGGCCGCTGATTGAGCGACTTTCCCGGAACGTGCGGAGAGGGATGGGGACTTTTCTGTGCATCCTTGACTGCTGATGCTCGCTGATGGCCGGTTTTCTGCCTGAGGTCTCAGGCCCTTTGCCTATCGCTCAGAGCGATTATGTCATTCGCCCATCCCTTCCTCTCCTCTCTCCCCCTTTGGTCCCTTCTCTTCGCTTCCCCCCCTGCCACAGCCGCAGTGCCGCAGAAGCAACACGAAGAGTCGATCGGTTGCCTCACCTGTGGCCCAGCCCAACCATTCACAGCTTCGCATCTGCCACTCTCAGTCCCGTCTCTCTCTCACCCATGACGTGGGACCGGCCCAGCCACTCGCTGCCCGCGACGACACGACGTATCGCAGGGCCGTGGGCATTGAGCGTGTCTGTGCAGAAACGCAAACTTCCGCGCGCTTGTTGACTCTCTCTTGCCTGTCTCCCTCCTTCTGTCCTCCTCTCGACGCAGTCCAGAAAGCTTAAGCACAAAAACGCAGCTCCCTTGCGTAACCTTGCCCTTCTCTTGACATGCCATGACGTCGACGGCGTGTGACTGCGTCGACGGTGCCAAGTCGACGAGAAGCGCGAGGAGGCAAGGAGGCAAGGAGCACCATACACAGACGAGCAGCTGAACGACTCCGAGTAAGCAGCACAGAAGTCAGTAGAGAGCCCCAACTACAGTACACAGTGCCGTGCAGTCCTGTCAATCGCTCCGCTCGGCCAACACCGTGTAAGGGGCGGTTTCGTCTGGTCTGAAACCCTCGTCGCCGTATCATCATCGTGATACAGCCACGCAGAGAACACACACATAACACACGAGCGAATCCACTTTGCCCATACAACGGAAAAATAGAGAAAGAGACGAGGAAAAAAGGGCTCATCCTCTGATACAGCGATGCTGGCGTACCTCACCACGTAGTATCGCCGCGTAGCACAGCCGCAAGCGAATGGCATGGGGGCGTAGGTATCCATCCATCTTGACAACCTCTCGTCCCGTGTCCCGAGACTCTGGGCGGGCGCTCTGCGACGTTTGGCGATTCCCGGAAGTCTGGACACGTTATTTCCCTTTCCCCGTCTCCCGTGCCGCTCGTGGCCGCCGCCGTCGTCGTCGTCGGCGCGGGGGGCTTCTGGAATAATGCACAAAATAATGAGAAACCAGCTCGGTTTTATGAGAGTGTCTTGTTAATGAAAGGACAAAGGACCCGTTCCTACGTCGTGTCAGTCACTTATGCACTCTCTCGGTGAAGACCGAAGGTAAGAGTATCTGTGTACAGCGCCACGTGGGATATTATCCGTCTTTATGCTTATGCTTCTTTTTGAGGCGGTTATGCTGGTGGGACGTGGCTGAGATACGGGGAGCTGGGCCCTCAGTAATGTGGCAACTGCCAGCAGCCTTGGTCAAGACGGAGGCAATGCCAACTTCCATCAAAATAAAGCGACAAAGGCCAAGGTGTGGTAGGAGTCGGTTGACTTGGAGCTGTCAGGCAGAAATCACTAACCTAGCTTTCTACACTGAATTTCATTTCCTGTTGTTGACGAAATATACTCTGCGATGGCGTCGTTCTCCTTTCTCTAGACCGAGGTATCAGACATTGTCAAGGAAGCGGCGATATACTTGTATCTAGCACTCTTTTCTGCCCCTAGGCACTCAGCTTTGACGGATGTCTTTACCAGATGGAAACCTATGCCGCCCGGCGGAAGTAACCCAGATATGTAGACAGCATCGAGTAGCAAACGCAATGAACCGCACAAAAGGCAATGGTCGCGCCGAGCCTAGAGCTCGCAACTCTCATTTTGTCACTTTCATCTGCCATATTGCCTCGTCGAGAAGACCCGTTCGCTCCCCGTCATAGTTCTGACACACAATAAAATCCAATCACAGTTTGCTCCCGCAACTGACTCGGTCCGACGACCTCGCCTCGTCCGGACATGACCGCCAACGCTTCTTCCGCAGAACCTAGACTCTGCAGGCAGAGTATAGCATCTGAGGATTGATGGTGACGATAGCTTCCACGAAGCTTCCGCTACTTTGGTATCCCAAGCACCGGCCGAACCTTCTGCACCCCAGAGTTCACGTCAACCTTTTGCCAACGCAAAACCTACACGCCAAGATAGTTGTTCAGAGAAGTCTGATAAGCCGGGCGGACGAATCAAGCATCGTCAAACATCCCCAGACTTTCAAGCCAGGTTGCCTGCGTGGCCTAAGCCCGTGGTCGTCTGTTGATGCTTCAACCAAGCGTGAGCGTCCGAGCTGGCGTAGGCAAGGTCTTACTGCCGGAGCGGCTGTGCTCTTGTGATTGTCGCGTCGCGCAAGATTGAGTCCCTGCCGCTATTTCACGGCTGTTGTCCTCGACGACATACTTGATATGAGTCTCTCGATATTGAAGGAGGCCGTAGATTTCGCGTCTCCCTCCAACCCCTATCACGGCACCACTTGGTGCATATATACTCAGAGCGGTGGCATAGGCGGTCGAGGTCTAGTGACCGTATTCGTGATCTCGACTTAACCAACCTATGTGTTTGATGCCATATCCGGACACTTCCGGGCCGTCCTCAAGAGGCGATACTGTATCATCCTAATCGCTGGCTGGTATGCTATGAGGACTTCGACCAAACAAAATATAAAAAATTCTCAACACTAGGTAACTTCAAGGACAAGTAGCAGCCTATGCGGTTTCTATGAGTCGAAGCGTCGGATCGAACAAGTCATGAACATACCACTTCAAAGCGTCGCACAGGAATGTCTTGACTGAAAGATCAGGACAAGTGGGAAGCCATTTGCCAATAAAACCTAGTCGAAATCCGCGCTGAAAATGTCTTCTCGGCGAATAGAGAAAAGATAGTCAATTGACAATAGTTTGCCAGCTCATCTCCAAAGTATCAACCTGAAGCTGCGTGAATTTGCTGTACGCATTCTTCCACTATATTTCTCGGACATGTGCAAGGACTGCCTTGTTGTATAAAGCTCAACAGCAAGCCCCACGCGAGGGAAGGACTTAAACAAGCCCTTTCAAAGGCAATTCCCGAGCATGTCGTATGCGGAAGGTCATACGCCAAGAAGGTTGATCCTCACGACCCCTTCATTGCAGTGGTACACTGTTTCGCATCAAGAGCGTCTGGATATCGCGCTTTACACGCGGCGTGTTGGCAGACACAAGCGATGGCTTTTCAAGACACCCACGACACCTTCTTTGATAGACTTTGTGGTTGGAACTGATCACCTGCGCTCAAAGTCAACTTAAGCCAATTGGATATTCATGGCAAGATCGACGCCCCGCCGGAATGTTCGGCGAGGATGTTGACGATATCTCGGGCCGGAAAGTGGATGCCCTGGTCGCCCACTAGTCCGGAAACCGGAATAGATGTTCGTCGCACAAGGCTTCGCGAATGTCCTTACGTCAAATGAAGGGTTCTCCTAAGTTAAGGAAACAGCAAACATGATCGACTTTGAGTGTTCTAGTCGTCCAGATAATCGGGCCTTGTCGTCACAATCCTAGGCACGCCAGTCATTGGATTGGCAGGCGGAGCACTGCTTGGGATCTGTGTGTTGCGTCACGGATAAATGATGCTTGTCCACCACGAAATGTCCAGACCCAAAACTTGGTGAACGCCTCCACACCGGAGGCTAGATGGCGCCGTGGGGCCGAGGGTTTGACGTTGATGAGAGTCTGCGGGAGCTAGCGCGTTGCCAATGAGAGCAGAGCTCGCAAATTAGCTTAGAATGAACCGCCAAACTCAAATCCTCATATGGCGCCGCGGCACGCCTTCAATATTGCCACAGCAGATAGCTTGTACTTGGTAGTACTAACCAAGCCGTAGTTCGTCCCTGACACTATGGCTCGGAGATGACGTGCCGTGGGCAGATAAACACGACCGAGGATCAGGTCAAAATCGGTGAACGGATCACCTTGGCCTGCAAACCGGGCGAATGCAGGCTCAAGATTTGTTGCTCTGGAAGACGGCAGACCCGCGTAGCCGTCGGCGCATTGTTTCGTTTCGTCCCAAGGTCCACGTGTGGATGGCGAAGACGGCCATACAAATTGTGCGGAGACGAGAAGGCGAAAACAGTCATTCGTGTCATTGAGTTTTGTCTGCTGCTGCGGTTATGCAAAGCAAAAATCTGTCGAGTCGAAGAAGCCGCGGTGGCTTCTGGGACAGGGCATGGACCCTTGAGCTCAGTCCATGCTGAGCGATTTGTATGGACAATGCCATCCTGAGCAGACTGAAGCTTTGCCCATGCAGCGGGAGCCTTACCTCAGTATCAAGCAGCCGCCCGAGAGCCATTGATTGCACGAGGGATTCGAGGGGAGATCATGGAGTTGTCAGAGCTTTCAGCTGAAAATTGGCCAATCTACGGTGGCATCGACGGGTCTACCCAAGGGCGTCTTTGTACCATCAGATTGTCGAGCGAGCCACGGATTCAACAACTGTCATTGTTGAAGGTCAAGAAAAGGGACCACGTGACAGGGTGCATTCTTGTAGGAGTTGCGCCTGACACAGCCAATTGTGACGGATATAGAGGCCGAAGTAGCGGGACGCCTTCTGAAGAGGGTGTGGCCCCTTTGGCCCTGTTCCATGCGTGCAGCATGCATCTGGCAGCTGAAACGCGTCTAGAACTCGGCGTGCAGTCTGCAGAACAAAAAGGCGCATCTGCAAACGCATCCGCCGCATCTGCGGTGAACAGTTGACGGTGGATGTATGTAGGAAGTAGGTGGTGGTGGTGGACGGTGGGCACCTTGTTGGTAGCGGTTCCCGCGTGGCCTGCCAACCTGCTGTGCCCCCTCACGGCTTGCGCCCGTCTTGGGGCTTGTTGCTGGTTGGGTGGAGCGGCCCAGTGACGAGGGCTATCTCGATTTGTCCGGCTTGCGTTAAAGAATGCAGGTGATGAGCAAGGCCGTCAGTTTGCTGTGTATCTCGGGCCAAAGAGGAAGCGCAACATTGGGCACCCTGAACGGACGCGCAGAGATGTCGCAAAGTGACTGGTGCGCGTCGAGGTGTTCCTGGTTTTCCATGGTGTTCCTGCAGGAGGGATGATTACAGGAACTCTGGATTCTGCACACCGCAGGCAGACCCCCGCTCAAATGCCTTTAAGGTAATGCCGATCAGCGTTCTGCCGCTAGGGTTGAAGGGATCCGAGGCGACGAGTCACAATGGTAGGGCGAGATGCAGCAATGAATTCCCATTCTTCCGCCTCTTGCGCTCGCTTGGATCCGGACGGTGATGTTCGTATTGGCCGGTCATCGTGTTGCGCGGCGAGCGAGCCTGCATCGTGCAGCCAATTGTCGACCAAGACTCGCGAATTAGACAGCAGTCTCTATCTGCAACTGAGGGCGGTGTTGATCAAATGCCTCGGAGGCTTGCCGACTGGCGTGTCGAGTTTGAAGGCGGGAGAGGGACGAGGCATATGTCTTCGGGGTATTTTCCTCTCATTTTTTTGTGGCAGACATCAGCTCAAGGAACGAGACGTTTCAATTCGTCCCGTCTTGACGTGGAAGGCGCCATTCGGCACAGCAGAGGTCGGGATTGCTGCGGTGGTGCGTGCTGGTGTGAGGTGTTGTTTCCGGTACTGTTGTAAGTGGCCGTCGTCGTTACGCAATGGACGGCCGGTGTTGGTTGGCGGGCCGCATGGCTGGTTGGCTGCGGTGGCCCCCTCCATGGTCCCTTCAACGGACGGATCAGAGACATCCAGGATGAACGGTGCGGTCAATGTCTGAGTCTGGGGAAGCGCGCGCGGTGATGATGGCAACTTGGGTGTCGCAGTTTGGCTGATGGTTTTCTTTTGCCTTTTTCCTCTTGGTCTCTTTCCAAAATTGGGTTGTTGCAGACTGGCATTTCCTTTCTTTTTGCCGCTGCACACCAACACACCTCCGGCAGCTCTGACAGGTGCAGAGAACGCTAAGCAAGCGCAGAGAAGAGAAAACCTAAGACGCGACGACGGCAGGCGAGGAGGGCATCCAAGACTTCAGGCTGTACGGATACTCTGTCAGTCTGACTTCGTGGTGGCTTCGGTTCTGGGCATGCCGCAGCTTGCTTGCAGGAAGAGAATCATCCGTACGGAAGCTCGTAGCAGGTGGGTTGAATGGTGGGAAGCGGACGCCGGGGAGGTTTCTTATCCGGGCGAATCCCCTGTCGCGTCTCTGCTCCTGGTCTTTGCAACCGGTGGGTATTTTGCCAAATGGTGTCGTTGTCGACGACGACTCCTTGCTCTGTTGGAAGCGGTTGAGTGTTCGCAGAATCATCGCAGACCCTCACCCAAGTCCCGTCAGCAATCAGTGGAGCAGACAAGACCCCCCCAGATCGGGCCATCTGGACCGCAAGTGCAGGGGTTGAAGGGGTCGCGAAGGTGTGTGCCTGCGCTAGTGTTTCCGCTTAAACATTTTGAGCTCGTCATTGGCCCGCCGTGCTCTCTCTGGCCCCACCTCGAGACTCTGGGAGACAGGGGCGTGACGGAGAGTGACCCCCCAGGCGGGGCAGGAGCGTTGAAGCGTTGGAGCTAAGAAGGAGCGCCCCCTGCCCCCTGGCACGCGAAGTGCAGCCAATGGAAGCCACAGTCCCCTTGGTGAGCCGTGCTTTCCTTCCATCTGCCACTTTGGTCGCTCGACCTCCTAAAAATTGCAGCGAGAGCAGGCGCAATTGCAATTGCAGCCAGGGGCAACCCGTCACACATGCTCTTCCTCCTTTCGAAATAGCCGCCTCCATATTGCCAAGTGCCCTGCAAAAAGCGTGCCTGACTATTGAATTGAACGACGCCTCACACTTGCCATTGCCAGACAGAGTCTAGGCATTCGTAGATAGAGATGATATGATGACTGAGACTTCTCAACGGCCTCTGCGTTTGCGCTCTTGTTGGATCTTGACGTGACTCTCTAGGGAACCGTCTCGTTGGTGACATGACCAACACCCCTCCCCCCACCGCCGGCCAGGTCTTTCATTTCCCTGTTGCGGCTCCATTCTTTGATTGAGTTGAGGTTGTCGTTTGCGCAATCCCGTCCCAGGCCACGGGCACGTACCCGTATCTCGATTTTAGATAGCAGCGCATCTTGAAGTCTCGGCGTATCATTCTTTTCCTCGCACCTGCCTGTGTGCAGATAGACTGACAGGAGCACTGCAAAAAGGACAAGACTGACTCCAAAACTACACACCCCTGATTACCCCCGGTGGAGCTGTGTACTTGTCCTGCTCGCCATCAACGGACAAATGGGCTGTCACTCAGGCCAGACCACACCCCAATATTGAAGCGCACCCCCGTCGTCGATAGACCCATTCGATCCAATCCAGAGCCCCCCGAACCCTCCAAGCCTCTTCTGGCTCTGGCACCTGGCCAGCCCTTCCTCTTTTTGACTCCGGGGGATCCCTCTCATCCCCTCTTGTCCCGTCTCGACTCCTCCTTTCGACCTCTCCCCGTCGAGTCCTGTCCCGTCTTCTTCTGCCACCTCCCCGTCCCTCCTCGACATTTGCACGCCGCCGCTTGCGAGCGAACGAGCACGAACGACAGACAACCAACGACACTCCTCGTCGTCCCGTCCGCACAGTCGTCGAGTCGACCAACATCCCACCTGTCGTTGCTGTAACACTGTGAGATCGCCCTGTCCAAGTCCCTCGACAGATCCCCGATAGCCCATCTCCGTGTGTCGTCGTCGCCTACGGATACCACTCTCGCACAACACCCACAGACCCGGGACACCCTACGCGCACGCACTCACACACACCGGAACCCAGCTTTTTTCACTTCTCGACTTTCTTTTTCTTACTGTTCAGTCGTCCTCGGTCGACACCTCTTGGCCTTTGCTTGCTTCTCCCGCTGCCAGCTCGGGAATTTCAGCAAAAAATAAACCGCTACCGCCTTGTCTTGAAGACAAAGCCGACCCTTCTCTTAACCCAACTGCCATCCCTCCGTCTCGGACAGGAGAAGAAGAGGAAACAACTCGATCCCGCGTCATTGTCATTTGCTGCCGCTGCCTCGGGCTCTCTCATTTTGTTCTCTACGGGTTCCAAACAATCCATCGACCTCCCCACGCGGCCTCACCTGTCAGTTCGCACATCATATCACCCATCGAATCCACCACGGGCCTTCTTCTTCGCCTGATTGTCTCTTGATCTTCAAATCTTCAGACGTCATTCACAAGGTTCCCCCAGAGAGGTGCTGCCTCCCCGACGCCGGACACACCCTGCCCGTTCCGCCCGTCTGAAACACTCTCAGTCCCTCTCGCCAGCACCGCAAGACCCAGTGTGTGTCGTGCACCCATCCGCGCCCGTCTCACCCACCTGATTTCTCTTGTCAAGTCGTGCAAACAGACACTCACGTCGTGCCGCTTCGCCGACCATCGTAGCCAGCACTCCTGCACGCGCTTCAGACGTCGATGCCATCATCTTCCAGCCATCCATCATCCTGTGTCTGTTGTCGACTGTCGCCGTCCAGCATCGCTGTTCAGAGCAACGACAACTACGACAAATTCTCCCAGGCGGGCGAATCACGTTGGACAACAGCAAAGTCTCGAAACACCAACTGTACGTGATCCCCTTTGGGACTCCCCCTACCCGTGGCCCGGCTGTTCAGGTATTCCCTGCTTTGGGGGGTGTGGCCGACCTGAAGCGACCCTCCCGAACCGCCGGGAACCTCCTGCTTCTGCACCTGGGCAAGAGTGGCAGAGTCTCTCACGCGGCGTTGTGCAGACAGACAGTACATGCTGCCTTTCTTGCCTGCCTTGCCTCACTCCTCGCCTCTTCTTTCTGTTCTGTTCTGTCTCTCAAACCCTTCACACTCTCCGGTGCTGACCTGGACTTTCCCACGATAGATCGTCGGAGCCTCGTTTTTCATTCTCTACTACCCTAATTAATTCATCTAGCATTCTCTTTCCCTGCTGCCGCACCCGCGGACGCAGTTCATTCCTTCTTCGCCGCCTTTCCTTTCTTCATTCGCCACCCCTCCGATCGCATTTCGCCATCGTCTAGACTTCGATTCTCGTTTTAATAGGCCTGGTTCCTGTTTTCAATCTCGCGCAGTTACACCGCCTCGCAATAGAGTTGAGCGACCTTCGTTTGATATACCCACCCGCCAGTCGTTTCTGTCCGCGAAGCTGCGTCGAGCACCTACAGCAAACCACGCTGTCATTCGAGCTTATACGAGCAACTCGTCGTCGGGCAATTTCGAAAGCGCCGCCGCATCAGCAAACTATCGGAGACCCGCAGCAATCACTGTCGTAGAATCTGCACCCAGGTGATACCGCAGGGCGAATGGTTTAATTGTCGTGTCTGGACGCGCAGGCACCTTGAAACGGAAAAGAAAAAGCAGAGAGGCAGGAAAAGGAGACTCTGATGTCGCTGGACCGAATTCACGAGTACTAAATGAGTCAACCCCAATATGGAAGAGATATGGATCGACCACCTATCGCAGGATCCGTCAAGCGGGCGCGAGAGCGGGCTCAAGCCGGATTTCCGAGGGACCAGTACGCACCGCCGTCCGCAACACGATTCCCGATAATGGAAGAGGACTTGGACAGCCCCACGGATGTCTCACCACCACCGAGCCGCCAGAACCCCGATCCCGCACCGTCACAAATCCCGAGACCATTACCTCCGGCCGCGCTACAGAACAAAGATGGCGGCATCGGCATGGCCATCTCGCGGCCTACGCAAATCCCCCAATGGCCGCTGCCCGGACCCATCCCGTCCCCATCCCCCGAAGCCGAGCCGTACCGACCTCCCCCAGGAAGGGGACCACCACCGCAACGCCCACCTCGCCCAAGTAGGGTCCCTTCGATTCTGGACAGCTCCCGAGTGCAAGAACACACTCCCGTATTTCAGTACACCCCCCAGATCGGACGAGAATCGACGCTGAGCCAAGATCCCTCGTCCGCACCACTCACCCCGTCATCGAGACATACGCAGTCGTCAATGTCTTCCGTAGGATCGATTCCGGATTTCCCATTGCCATCGACCATTCCTCCCGCTCCGATCCCGCCACCTCCTCCCGCCGCTCTGCCGAGACGGAGCGTCACCCTCGGACCTCCTCCGTCGTCTCGACGAGGTGATTCGTCCTTCTATTCCAATGCTTCATTTGTTTCTCCGATTCCCGAAGAGAGCCCAAGGTCGAGGTCGCATACCTCATTTGCTTCTAGCGCCGCTATGCCAGAGAGTTGGGGCAGTCAATCGCCAGGATTCAGCCCAGGATACCCCGATGAATTTTACGAGGATGATGCGTACTCCACGGAGGAAGACGAGGACAACAGCAGAGCAAGCACGGCACAGTATGGCGAAGGTGATGAAAGCAAGCTGGTCAGGAGCGCGAGTGTTGGTAAGATGCAAAAACCATCAATCGTCATGAACCGAGCTCCGAGCGGCGGCGACCCGTTACCGCAGGAAGCATTCAGACCAACACCATCACCTCTCCAGAATCAGCTCCCGCACAGCCCCTTCGACAACGGCACAGGCTATCTTGAAGGGTCTAGTTCCTCAGGAACGGTGCCCACGATGGCAGCTACGGCAACCACGCCTTCAGTAACAGCTGATGCCATGCTTGGAGCGTTTGCTGCTGCCAGTTCAACAAACCCCGAGGAAATGAGAAAAGTCACACCCGAGCCACGGCCGTACAACCGCCTATCGGCGATTCGTCGCCCGCCAAAGTTGGGCCTAGACATGAACTCTGTCAGAGAGATGGAGTCCAGAGGCAGTATGACCAGTTTGCCAGACTTGATCAAACGCGCAACTCGCTTAGCCGCGCTTATTGACCGAGGACGCCGGCCTGCAAGCAGATTTGACATGGACGGAGAATGGCCGGATGAGAAAGCGTTTGGGCGCGAGGGGGAGCACCAAATGGCAAACATGTCAGGTGAGTGAAATGAAGTCTTTTGCCCGTAGTCATCCGCTAACGTCGTCATCTAGCTGCTGAAAAACATCAGTCAGGACTCTCTGACATGTTGGCTGCGTTTCCTCCTCCAGCAACAACTCCTAATCCTCCCCAGCGCGGCAGCTGGTTCAGGCGTAACTCTCAAGGATCATGGCCTCTTGCACCAGGAAGCCGTGGCGGTACGCCAGTGCAACCCATGACACGCGCCATGGCAGCCAGATCATCTCCCTTGGCAAGGTTGGAGTCCAACAGCGATGAGGGCTCTGTCAAACGTAAGAGAAGGTGTTGCGGCCTACCACTCTGGGCCTTTATTTTGATTGTTGTCATCGTTTTGGGTATCATCGCCGCTGCCATCATCGTTCCTCTCGAGTTCTTCGTCTTTCGGAAGAACAGGACAGGCAGCACTCCCACTACTGAGCCGGCTCTGGGTCAATGCCAGAACCAGCTCAAGTGTGAGAACGGCGGTACGAATGTCATTTCGCAGAATGTCTGCTCATGCATTTGCACGAATGGATTTACCGGTCAGACTTGTTCTGTGGCCGGCGCAACCGGATGCACCACGACCACTATCACCGGCACCTCATCTAATTTCAATAATGTCACCCTCGGCCAGGCGATACCCCGCCTCCTTCAGCAGGCTCAGACCAATTTCACCGTCACCTTGGACGGAACCGACATTCTGGCAAAGTTCAACACGGAGAGCCTCTCTTGCATTGCGCAAAACTCGCTTGTTACCTTTGATGGGCGCTCAACTCGCCAAGGCACCACCAACTCGCAAGAGGTGGTTGCCAACGTGGGCGTCAACGCTGACAACATACCCATCCAAATCATCACGCTGCTTCCTGGGCAGGCGACGACGATTACCTTCAACTTTATCGAGACTGGTGCCGTTATTGGTCCCTCTGGCGACATTGTTGGCGGGTTCACGACCCTCTCAGGCCCATTCCGCGTCACGACGATCCACGCCTCCAGCTCGACCATGTGGGCTACCATCCCTATGATGCCCACGCCGACGACAATTAGCTCGAGCTCGACGGCTCCAGTCACGATGCCTACAATTCCGCCAGCAACCTCGGTGCCGCCAACGACAACTTCCACGCCACCGACGACAACATCAGCACAGGGCCCCCTGGTTCCCTCAGTACCTGTGTCTCCATCGCCGTCGCCCACGCCTACGTTCAGCGTCACGGAAGAGACTCTTGACTTCGCGAGAGTCGCCGTGCTGCTTATTCTCGAGAGGCAGAACCTGATGGCCGCGACGACAGCACAGACGGTGCTCCAGCGGTTCTTCACGCAGGCAGGCACAGGCAGTCGGACATCAAACGGAGGCGTCGCCATCAGCCAGGCATTGAATGTGACGCTCGGCGGAGGTAATTCGGTAGACCTGGTCCACTTCCTCGTCAACGTCCCCGGGAACACCACGACGCCGACGACGATGACGGCGACGAACAGCACCTCACCCGGTGTCGTCGCCGCAGAAGGGAGCTGAATTTGCGCCATGTGAGGATGGGGGACGGTGTTCAGTATGATGATGGTCGTCGACGGCGTGCCGAGGGGTAAACCAAAAAATGTACATAGTGACGCTTAATGAGGTGATGAGCTGCCAAGCCCGAGCAGCAAAAGGATGGAATGTAGGCACGCCGGCGCCCCCCGATCATCTTGTATTAAAAAAGAAGTAGTGTGGCCCTTTTTTCTATTTCTCTATAGCTTTGGAAGTGGAGGAGGAGGAGGATATCAGCACGCATAGCGTCTTCGTTGTGTACGAGTAGGAAGCCAGTCAGCGAGGGCGTTGAGACTTTTTTGGAGAAGTCGAGGAGCTGTGCAGATACCATTGATATCAATCAAGACATAATCCGGTCTGATGACAATATTTTGACTCGTTCCCCATAACTTGCCGTGAGGCTGTCATGAATTGTTCTCAAAATGCACGCAATACTGTCCCCATTTTCATTGTTTGTTGGCGCAGAGGGATATACTTCGGACCAGACGTCATTCTCATCAGACATTTTTTCTCGCTGTTCGTTCATGTTGGTCACGAAATGGCCCCAGCGGTGGGATGGTATCCACACGGCTCCCCATCAGACAGGATCGTCGTCCGGGATCGCCGCCGGAGGCGATTTCTCTCTGATTTTTAATCTCACGGAACCAAGGAGAAAAAGGCACGAACGGCATGGCATGCTCGTGGTGGGTTCAGGTTTATTCTTTTCTCCGCTTGGGAAGGATGGATGGTTCGCTTACAACTCGACGGTAACAAAAGTTTTAGCGCCGCAGGGCCGGCGATTCCCCGTCTAGATTTCTTCGACCACTGGACGATCCATGGGGAGAGAGAATGAATGGGTGCAGCGGCAGGTCTGGAACTTCCTTGACATCTCCGTTGGGTGGGTTAAGGGTTTGTGCTTTTCTGTTCTAAACTTCCTCGTTAGGGCGGCGGTTTTAGTGAAAAGGATATAGATGGAGCAGGGAGCCACCCGAGCTCCATAAATGAAGCTTCGGCGCTCCGAGGAAGGGAATTTGGCCGTGGGTTTGGATTGAGTGCGCGGTATTTTGGGGGCATTGGTTGGTGGTGATTGGGGCGTTGCGGTCGATTTCATATTGATTGGAGGCACAATTTCTATGCGACGATAGCTGTTGGCTAGCGAAGGGGTGGACAACACGTGTTTAGAGTGTTGTTTACGCTGTTTTAGAGGAAATTTGGAAAGAAAAAGAAGTGAACATCCAGGGAATGTGCGTTTGGTGGGTTCCTTTTTGGACAAAGATAGAAACCGGGGAAGATGTGTGGCCGGCCCGCTGGCATTGAACGAGTGCCGTTCTCTGGTGATGACTCGGAAGAGGTGAGCCGGTCAGGCCGGTGAGAGTACGAGAGTGCGAGTAAGTTTTGATTTATCCTTTCAGGATTGAGGCTGAAAGACTAGATTGAAGTGAGGTCATTGAGGGGGGAGGCCGTGTAGCCTTGCTTACCGGTGGAGGATGGAATGAGTCGTGGGCTTATGCTTTTTTACGGATAGAGATTGACGATCCAAGATTGCAGATTGTAAATGAGGCCGAGGCGAGGGGAAGTTGTGATGTGCGGGTGATGGTGAGGGCGCTAGGACGGATGCGGAAGGGTGGGAAGGTGGTGGTTTGCTTTTTCTCAATTTCACCGGCGAAAATTTGAGTTGCCGATGCCTTGGCGTAGTTTATCTTCAGCGTGCTCTTCGTGTTCACTGTTCAAAGTCTGTTGATATCGTGGGTTTTTGCGCTGCGCTCTTGGCTTTTCCGCTTCTCGGCTGCCCAGTTTCGGTCTGCCGGGCACGGCGTGCCAGCCTGGGTAATCGCTCTCGTCAGGGGACGCGGTCGTGGGAACACAGCCCCTCTCTGCGCGTGGTTTGAAGAAGGGCGTCGGTAGCGTGGCGTGGGGGATGGCGTCCCCCCGGGAGCCAGACTTGCAGTCTTGTTGGAGTCTTCTTTTTTTCTTGGTCAAATCAGTGTCGCTAGACTCCGTCTGCCGTCCCCAGTCACCCTCCGCCCCTCGACACCCCCTTTCAAGGCGCAGATGTGGCCCTCCATTGCAAGGGTACCTGCATCGGTGGTCCCCCCCCCCCCGGTTCGCCATCGCCTTTCGCAATAGAAATGGGGCAGGTTTTCTGACAGGGGTGGCCCGCTGTCTGCTCCGGCGTCTGGATAAGACGGAGAAGCAAGCAACTGGGACTTTGGGAGGCGAGAGCGAAAGTGAAGAGAGAAAAAAGAGTCTGCCGTGTGGGAAGTCGTTATTGAAAGGGGGAGGAATAGTTGAATAATTGGACCTTGAAAAAACGGCCGAACCAGAAGCTGTCAATCAGTGTCATCGGGTGGTCTTGAAACCTGTCGCCCACCTATCATCCGGTCTCTGCGACCTGGGCAGACAGTTGGTTCGTCTGTGAGGAGGGGGGACTTCTCGAGTAGGAAGGTGAGGCAAGGTCGAGGTGCGGGAATAAGAGGCGTTAAGAACGACGATGTCAGCGGCAGGCTGATGGCTGAAGCAGTCGCGTACAGTACCGCAGTAGACAGATCGTAGCCGTTAGTGGCTCGACGCAACCATCGTGTCGCAAGCGGCGGCGTCGTTGCATGCCACACTGAGGAGTTGAAGAGTCAATCAATGCCGGGTGCCCTGCCCTGCCCTGCCACGTCCTGGGAAGCTCGAGCACACACGATCCCATTCTAAAGGGAAATAAGGTAGTCTTACCCGTCTCCCCCCTCCCCCCATTCGCAGAGTGCAGACAATATCCCTTGCTACGCGCGCCAGTGAGGCTGTGGTCAGATAACATAGCGGACAGTCTGCAGTCTGCAGAAGGGCGAGGTGAGGTGGTGGGTATGATTGAAGAGTCTAAAGAAGGGGAAACGGCCGAAAAGGGCGAAGGGCGGCAGGCTGGTGATGGTGGACGGGAGGAGAATTAAGTGCAAGGCCGCCAAGCAGCGTGGTAAGGCAAGGTAGCAGAGCCCACTTGGTTGCAGTGAACTGCCTTAGCCTTAGAGGGGACGGGACTGGGAGGGAAAGGGCTGATTGATGGTGCATTTTGGGTGCTGGTTGCATCCATCCATCCATCCATCCATCCATCCATCCATCCATCCATCCATCCATCCATCCATCCATCCTGACTGGACTGTCCCGGGCTGTCAATCTGAACCTGGAAGTGTGGGCTCGCTCTGCCGCTGCCGTTGCTGCTGCCGCAGCCCGGGTGACCCCTTCCTTGCGCCTCCTTCCCTCTTTCTCTCGTCCCTCATTCTCAACCGCTACCTTTCCCTCCTTCTCAACCTCCTCCTCCCCTCTGCCTTCAACCTCATTCACTCATTTGCGACACGACCGAGGGGGGAAGCGTTCCTACACACTTCCAATCGCTCACCTGCTCTACTATACATCAGAGCCTACTTCCGGTCGCTTCCTGTGGTACATCAACTACGCTACTCATTGCATTGACTCAAGGCCGGCTACTGAGGGAGGACCTCGACGCGCGCACACATCGAAAGCCTCCGTCTGGCGCGATCCCACGCCTAAGCCTTCGGGGCTCGCCCAGCACTATCTAAGCTGGGACAAAGAGAGCTCTCCGCGCAGAAGCTCGACCTCAATCTCTGAATCGACATCTCATAGCTACCTCTCATACACCACTTACTCACCATCACCAACCCCCAGCTCGCCCACCATGTCCTACAATCATCAGCAGTCAGACTCCATCTCCAACGCCATGTATCCCGCCGATTCTTCCTACACACCAGGCGGCGGCGCTCAAAACCGCCAATCCACAAACTCCCTCGCCAATGCCCTGTATCCCGTCGACTCCGGATACACACCCGGCGGCCAAAATCACCACCCATCAGACTCCCTCGCCAATGCCGCCTACCCCCAAGACTCTGCCTACCGCCCCGCTGCCCCGACATCCCACCCAGACGACAAGCTCGCCATGCCTCAAGCACGCTACTCCCAGTCTTACAACACCGCAGCCATGACAGGGCCCGGGGCTGCCAGTCGCCAAGCTCCCACAACAGCATACCCTCAGTACCCGCCCGCCACACAACAACCACAGGCCTGGACCCCGACGCACGATCCGTACTCCCCTGCCGTGACCCCGTGGAGCCCCGATGGCATGTCCGCCGCGAACCCGAACCTGCCGCCACCGCCGCCGTACGACCCCTCGAGGCCCGGGACAGGAGCGACTGGCACAAGTACGCCGAGGGACCCAACTTCGCCAAACCCGAGTGAGAGCGCACTTCTTGGGCAGCAGCAACAGCAGGCGGTTGGACAGCAACGTGGGGTGCCTGCTCAATCTCAGAGCATTTACACAGCTTCGCCGCAAGTCCAGCAACAACAACAGCAGCAAGCACCAGCACCCGCAGCACCGCACATTGCAGACCCAGAAGGACAAGATGGACAGCAGCCGAGGGCGTACTTGCAATCAATGACGGGTGGCATGCCTGCTTACGGTAACAGCCCGGGCGGTCTGGGGCCGGTTGCCAAGGCGCGCAAGAAGAAGAAGCAGAAGCTCGCCATCCTCGCCGCAGTTCTCTGTGCCATATTGCTGCTCCTGATCGGTTTGATTGTGGGCGTGTTGGTTGGCATCGTCAATCGCAAGGATGACAAGCCACCCCCACCAGGACCGACCGGGCCCAGGATGATGTAAACCGGAGAATTTCAATCTGAATTGAAGGCGAGAAAAGCGAGAGACTCGTTCCTGCGGGGCCGATATGGCTGGGTGGTGACGTATCGCTCCCCGGAGAGGGAAAGTCAGGGCGTTATTTACGACGAACCCGTCGATTTTGACGGGTTCGGGCAATTACTTCAACCAATACCCCGTTACGTTTTTACATATTTTGACAACTTTTCTTTGTTTTCATACCAACCACCCAACCTTATTTCTTCTTGGCATTACTTGAGCGTCGCACGGCGGATGGGGCGGGGAGCATTGAGGCAAGCGACGTTAATGTTTGATCAACCTAGGGACGGACTATGGAAGGTGTTGTGCGAAGAGGCAACGGCGATTGAGCGGTGATATATATACATACACATCATGGCATACGGGCGACTTTGCAGCCGATGGTGGGCTTATAGACGATGGACAGAGCCGCGAGAGCGTGCTATGAGATTGGAATGAAATGAAAGCGTACGTTGATCAAGAACTATGCGCCTTCTGGGATACGTGATACTTGCGATAACATACTTCAAGCCTTCGCTTTGCGAAGCACTTGGGAGTTAGCATTGGAGCTGTCCACCTGCTTGTATTGAGATTTCTGGCGACGCGAGCCTTCTCGCAAGGGCGTCGGAGCGATGCCTGATCTTCCCCCGCGCACACGGTTCTACCAACCGAACTGCGACCATCCGGGGAATATTCCAAGGATTTATGCCAGGCGGCGATGGCTGACAGAGAAAGTGATTGACTGTCGGAAACGCCGTGATAAGCTACTCTTGTCGAGGACATTGTCGATTCGACTTTTACCTAGAAAGGATCAGCTTGTCATGGTGGATGAGCGATACCATCCCAACACCGGGGCACCACAATATGTGGCTCACCACTCAGTCTTGTTTTTGGACGGACTGGCTGCTCTTCTTCTCTGTGCTTTTATATCGCGGAGCATTGAATAGGGGTCGTCCTTCGAAAGGTGAGTACGGTAGGTATATGGTAGGGTTGAGCTTGAGCTGTGCTGGGTCTTGCGCTGACGAGGTGAGGTCCGGACGTCATGATTCGAAGGTATAAAGATGGCATGTTGGAGCTTGATGTTACAATCTTCAGGAATGTCATTGCCACATGCGTCTTCGTTCAACCAGTGCTGGTCAATTCCTGGACGCTCGTCCAAAGACTTTGCTGTGATCTCGCGCAGCGGACGGGGGCTTTGGCCGGCCATGTCGGTCGTGATTCATCGTCTTCTATGTCCTAGTGTTAGGCATGAATACACCCCGACGGATATCTCGAGGTCCTGCAGGAATTGTCGTACAAGAGGCCAAAAACTCTGAGGAGCTGTTCACGATACCGGAACGGTTGTCTTTGGTCACGTCAGTGAGAAGCCGACCCGAGGATTTGTTCGTTCTGGGAGAAGAAGTCGCATTAGCATTAGAACGTCTAATATAGCACCGGTCACATCGGGTCGGGACTTTTCAGCATGAGGCTTGGTCTACGCATGGTGCTGGTGTAACTTATAAGACATCAGTAACCCATGACGTTTCTGCCCGCAATGATCGTTCTTGGTGGCTTTCGCCTCTTGAATGTGCCATGGTGGTTTAATTTGCTCCATCGGGTTGGCCTTGGCAAGGTCGATGGCAATTCCCCTTCTCCATTGGTAACACCACATGGTTCAGAGTATTGGTGAGAAATAAGATGAGAATAGCGAAGACGAAAACTGGCAACGATGGGTATTTCAAGAATGGGCTGAGATACAGATGCGATGCAAGCGCTTCAAGAACAGAACCGGCGTGGCTTCTCATGTACATTCATCAATGATGCCCTGCTGCAAAGCATCAGGCGGACCAGATTGTGATCAAAGATGAGAGCGCAGCGACCTGGATCTTGCTTTAAATCAAATCATGAGGCGGGGCAGCTGAGGTTACGTGGGGCGGGTAGACCATGCAGGCAGGGCCGCAATCTCTATGGAGAGACTGCATAGTCCACGCTGTGAGTCAATGAATTCTATATAAACAGGCTGACCTGCCGTCTCTAGACTAAAGTTGGGAAGGACAGAAGTCATACGCTGGTGCTCGTCTGTACCTCAATGATCCATCGGCCTCTGTACTGCTCGATCTTGATACTCCACAGTGATGGCTGCACGATGGAAGCATGATCCAACTTCAAAATCTTGCTGGCGATCCCTTTCGTGTTATGCTGAGATATTATGGGCGTATTCAGGACGTGCCAGGCGTCAGAGGGAGGACCCGGACGGCGGCGACGTGTATTCTGCAACGACGTGGAAGCGCCACAGGGTTGGACGTTGCCAGCGAAATACGACTTGTAGTAGGTAAAAAAGATTTCTCGACACCAGAAACTCTTGGGGCCGTTTCGTGGTTGCATTGTCTGAGGAGCTCTGGCGGAAGAACGATATGCGGAGGGTCTTGTACGTTCCCCAGCGCCGCAAGTGCTCGGTGTGGGATCAGCAGTGAGAGCAACATGGCTATAAAGTGAGCCGAGATTCTGAACTGATTGAGTATGCGGACGCAAATCGTCATCTCCTTCCTCATTATTGTTCTGTTTGAGGGAATGGGGCCTGAAGGCTGTATGGCATTACACTCATGGGTGCCATTTGGATAGCACCTCGGGGTGGGTGCCCACGGTTCACGACTCCTGTGAATTTCCCCAGAATACATCCACCACGGTGACAACTAGCGTCTAGGATGCGCGTCTCGAAGCGTCGGAGAAGTGGTCCATTACGGTTCATCATCTGAGCAGAATGCCTGGCAGATTGATGCTGTTGGCTAGAACAAAACAAAGGCAAAGCCCGAACGTCAGATTGTCTGTGAGGACCCAATAACGTGATGTTGGCTAGGATATTACATGAAATTCATCGTCGTCCCAAAGCTAGAAAAATGGACTGACGTTGGCCGCTGTGCGTGTCGCTCTCGGGCTTGAGATGGATCGATCAGACCTACAGCCCGGGTTGCCAGCTGAGCAAATTTGTTCGAAACTCTTGGTGAACATGTAATTGAATTTTTATATAAACATGTAATAATTGCTCCTGTTACCATACTGAGCGACAAGAGAAATACACCCAGTTCAACGCGAGGTGTCTGTGACAAGCAGTTAATTGTGCGGCCCCCTGCAACAATGATCTTCGACATATGCCAGTCTCAGCGAAGCTCCTGGAAGACGACATTCATTTCGTTGTCCACGCCTCTCTTATTAGTATTTAGGATCTTGTTGATGAATAAAATGAGCAGCTTGCGCGTGAAATGCGTCAGTCCCTTAGGGACTTGAAGCTGCATTGCTTTCACACCCTCAGTAAATAACCAACACAGGCAAGAATCTATAAACTCTTGCCTTAAGATGGTATAATTAGTTCATTTTGCACTGATATAAACATCTCACTCTTGTATTCTCTGCAGGCTGGGTTCGGATTATGGAGCCACCTCGACGAGCTGAACCATATGGACTATAAAAGCCATACTTTCAACATGCCAGCGATGAAGCAGAAATGGTCGCGTCTCTATTCATGAAGACGAACTCTCTGGGCCGATACTGGACAGTTTATAATGAGAGAATTTGGACAGCTCAGCACAGGTTCATGTACATCTCTCTCCTCGGGTATTCTCTTAACTTCATTCACAGACGACAGATGACAAAATGCGGTTATTTCAGAAAAAACGGATCTCATTTCGCAGTCCTCGAGAAACTTTTGAAACTACGCTGCAGAGCTCGAAGAAGAATGACCAATAGACTTTCGCGGCATTTCTAGTACTAAAAGCCCGTCCATGGATGTTTTCGAAGTTCTTTAGGACAGCGCTTCATATTATGTTGGTCTCCCAGACTTCAACCTATATATATACTACTAATGTGCTGAAGCAAATGGTCCCCCAGTCAATTCCACCATCCGACTACTTTCAGGACTTGCTGCAATTCATCCTTAGCATGGCTTCTTCCTCGATAGCAATCAACACCTGCAACGCGTGTCAACGGGCCTCTTCACGGACACCAGCCGCTGCCGCTGTCCATCTCGCTCGAGCTGCACGTATACTGCCACAGCAGGTCGTTGAAACTGTGCAAGATAGATTGGCAACTCAAAGACAAGATAAGATACACCACTGGCTAAATAATAACAGTCGAACATTCTTTTAGAAAGACAAAGTTCAGGAATCTAGACGCCAGCCTTTCTTTTGGTCGGTAGTAGACGCTGATGCGCAGGCCTCAGCTAGGCAAACTCAGCAGTATCAAGTCATATTGTGCGAAAGAGACCAGTGATTATGCGTTGTGGTATGGGCGTTGTAGGTAGGAAGGTGTCATAGCACGAGACCTCTTAACCGTATGCTCATCAGCACCCGTCGTACTTTGAATTTAGATAAAGAACCGCCGGTATCATCCATATGTGTCGGCTTCGTTGGTTCATACCTGGTTTATCACGAGTGCGGAGTCCTGGCACGTTTGAAGTAAGCATATGACATCGCCTCAGCTACCTCACTAGAAAGATACTATAAAGACGTCAGTAATTGTCCCGCCAAAGAAATTGCCGAGTATCCGGCCTGATTGCGGCTTCTCTCCGAAGAGACCGAGTCTATAGGTCGCATACCACGTCTCTTAATAGTGAGAAGTTCCCCTTCCCATGGTCGTCTTGACGCTACGGTTCTGGCCATCCGCGGTCTCGCCTTTGTCACGCTGACATCTCATGCAAATTGCGCTTCCAACTGCGTCTCCTCTTGGTTGATAAGCGGGGTTTTCTCTGTATGTTGGCTCTGCAATGAAGGTGATGCTCTTCAGCATTCTGCGAGACCATTCGAAGGAGCTGCAACAGCTTTGATGGCCCTCATGGTGGTATCGGATGTTAAATACGGTCTCAAAAAACGCTTACTGATACGTATAATTCCAAAATTGGAGAGATATCGGTGGACAGTGACGTGACCGCTATGACTCAAGGCCAGAGGCCGACGTTGTGTTTTCCAAAAGCCCCTGCCTTCATCCAAATTCTTTGAGTGTGGTTCTTGAACTGA